TATATATACGCACTACATTATGCTTACGCCATTTACTGTATACTATATGTGTACTGTTACTGGACTATAATGTGTAGCGTCATTGTGAGGCGTTGCGTAGAAAGACAATTGTATATTTGAACCGTCGCTTTTCTTGCGACAAGCACAGATTGCGAACGCGGATTCAGTCTGATGAACATTATAAAAACAAAGACTCGAAACCGGCTGGAAGAGTTACGTTTAGACGTGCTCATGGGAATTTAATCGTACCAAAACAATGGGCAGAATATTCATCTCGACACGGTGTACAGGCGATGGTTGTCATTGAGAGACAGACGCCGGAAATGATAACTGAACAATATGGTTGTGTACAGCACAAGTTAGATTTAAACTTCAGTTGGTAGGATAGAAGTGAAGACTTCTATCATTTTCAGTGACATACTGACTTGCTATATTTTATAATGATTAGTGAACTGTTAAACTTGACTGTCGAAGTTAAAGATATGCAATGCCTGATTTGCATTTTGGTCGCAATGTTGTGAATAAAAAAAAAAGTCCATGGTCAAATTTTGCTTTAGCGTGCAGAGTACATAAGTAAGCGGTTTATTGCAATCAACTGTTGAACAAACATCAAACTAAATATCAGAAAATAAACATTTGCACGTTGTAAATGTCATCTTCAAGAAGTTCATAAAAGTTTCCCACATAAATTATGACATTACTGAACAGCAAACCATCAAAAATTCTGATAATGTGGCAAAACAAATAGGCCTTCATGGGAGTCATTCAAGACAATTTTGCGATAAATTTTCGGTCAGCTCAATAGATAGTACTTGAAAACATCTATTAAAACTACATATTGTAGGTACTTCCTTTAGTTTAGCTGGTAAACTATTGCAAACTTTCACAAGATCAGCAACAGCAGTACATGTCGTTATGCCCCATGGGCCTTGCCTGGGGTCTTTTCAAGTGGATTACTGAGCTCTCACACGGGACTGTCTGAAGCCCTGTGCCTCCTGCACTACAGCGTTTGTATGCCACCCAGGTCATTAAGTTATCCGCTCAGCAGGAAAAAAAAAATTAGAGGGAACATAGCCCACTTTTTCCGCAAAAGTACTCAAAAACACATTGCTTAAAAAGCAGATCATAATACTGAACTGAAGTATTTTTTTTATGTACAGTTATGTCACAGGTTGGGGCAACCTGATTACAAACTAACAAGCAAGAGAAAAAAGAGCCATTGTGCAAACACTGTTTTGATTATAGTTTTATTGAGGCACTTGCACAATCTAGATATCACCATGGTATCATATTGGAAAATCTTCACATTTTTAACTTGTAAATATCAGTTTATCCATGTTAAGACATTACATTCAGGCAACATGATTTTCTTCCAAATATATATATGGATATTTATTAAAAATAAGTGAGATAATACAATGATTCTGTGCAGACCTCTATATAAAAAACTGTAAACAAATGATATACAAAAGCCCGATTTAACAGTATCTACTGGCAAGAATAAACATTATTCTATGTAAAAAGTCACATTTGTCAGCTATGAGTTTACACAGGAAACTTGTTGAAAATCTAAAATAAATTACTTGACGACAAACTTCTCAACAATCAACAGTAAAGCCAAAACGTTTTTTTCCAACCAGATTTTTTCTACAAAACCCAATAGGAACAGCACAAATTCTAAAGAACTCTTTCAGATGTCATCTCTCATCGAAGCTGTACCAGAAGATAGTTGCAATCATTTTTACCGCAAGTGGAATTCGCAGGCAGGTCATCTCATTTGCAGCACTGGAGTGGATTGGTTGGGGTGGCAGTAGAAAAGTGCAAAAAAAAAACTGAATATTGGAATTAATTAATTTATACATAACAAAAAGCTCTACTGGTGTTAGGTCCATTTTACTTCTGTATTTCTTAGTCCTTAGTCTCACGGTAAAATGAAAGGGAATTAAAGGGGCAGTCTTGGTTCCACAACTAGACTATCATGCACCTAGACTAGACTGCAACTAGACTATCAAGCAAAGTTATCTGCTTTGGGTTGATCTGTCAATAAATAATGATCCTGTTGAGTTTCGCTGCAGTAGCTTTAACATACAGTATCAAAACCAACCCGTTTGGTGGTGCGCATACACTGCCTACACTATTGTACGTTTTACAAACAGAAGGCTAAGGTTGAAGGTTGTTTTGGCTTCTGGGATACTGTGTACCTCTAATCCATGGAGCTCACACATGTGGATTTACCAGAAAATGTGCTTTGGAAGAGTCAGTCCTGCCCCAGAGAAGAAGCGTTCAGCAGGAGTCCGGAGGCGTCCGCCAACACCTGCCCTGCTCTTCTGTCGTTGACCCTGCCTGTCATCCTGCTTTGCCTTCTTCGGTGACAGTCTCCCAGGGACAGATGACCTCCTTTACGGTGGCCCTTCCTACGCTGGAACAGTCCTCCTCCTCGTCCTCCGAGTCGATGGGGTAGATCCGGCACTCCGGGGGGATGTCCACTTTGATCTGGAAGAAGCTGGGATCGGCGAGGATCGTAAATCAGTACAGCCACCACTGACGGCCTCCTGCTGCCATTGCTGTCATTTCAGTGGAGGTCTAACGAATGTTTGCTGGGGATGAAGGCTGCCGAGCTAACTCAGCTCAGCTGCCACAACTCGCCACTCATCCTGACGTAACTGCCTCAGTCCCCATATATACCTTACACCACCCTCTCCTCTTCCTCACTCGTTTTTGTATCACTCCTCCACCCCTTGGTTGCCTTTTCACCAAGCATGGGGGTCCTAAGCTCCCCGTCCTGTGGCTGGGAAGTTGGCCAAATGGCTTAGTCAAGTGGGTTAAGCCAAAATCTCTGCTAAATCCAATAAATGATTCTACTGTCACATAATGTTCAGCTGCTGTCATTCCTTAAATTATTACCTTTAGGCTGAAGGGTTAGAAATTGCACCTTGAAAAATCATTTCAGCTGTATCAATGCTAAAACTCATAGTGGCGCTGTTGTTGTAGAAGCCAGTACTCTGTACCCAACTGGGTTTTCTTTAAATATACTGAGAGACAAATCAGTATTAGAGCCAACAGCATTAGTTGCGTTTTTAATGTCTCTCAGCATAGGAGTATAAGGTTAAGATATGATTTGAGATAGAGGTGAGAAGGACAGAGTTCTTTCTGCAATTCATAAAAACACAAATGTAGCCAATTATATAATAATTCGTGATATTCTTGAACATAACCTAAATTCCTTAATTATCATACAATTAATTTATATCCATTATGTTAGATGCATTTATTTAAGAGTTCTTCTGCCGCTCACTAAGGGAGAGCTGACTTACTTGGCAATTCTTTTTGGCTTCGGCTGGGGCTGAGATAGCGGCTCGTGGTTGAGGGGCTGAATCCGGCCACTGGCGACGGAAGGGCACTTGGGCGAGAGGGTGGCGAACACAGGCGAGGTGGCGCAGCCCCGTTTCAGGAAGCGGCTGAAGGAGAGCGCCACGCGAGATCTCTGGGCCGGCTGCCTGGCTTCTTCGGATGGTCCGTTGATGGCGCTGGAATCGGAGCCGGCCGACAGCTCCGTGTTCTCAGCAATGGAGGGGAACTGGGCCGACGCGGAGCCGCCGGTGCCATCGAATTTCCTTTCCGAGGCGGGCGTGCTGTCGATGGCCACGCTGATGGGGGAGGGGCAGGCAGCACTGTTGGGCAGGGTGATGAGGCCGGGGGAGGGAGGCGGCAGCTCGCAGGGTGTGGGACTGCTGGGAGAGAGAGGCTCGCAGATTCCTGTGTACACAGCCAGGTGAGGCACAGGTGCAGTAAACTTACACAGCTGCAGGACAGTATGGGGAAGAGGAAAGGACTGTGTGAGGAGTGTAGGGAGAGGCAGTCCAGCAATCAAATGGGACTAGGACATGTTAAATGCAATATTTCCGGAGCATTGCACACCTCGACAAAGAGTTTAAAGGGGGATTTGCAGTCCCAATTTCTCATACTGGATAATAAGTCGTGGTAAAAAAATAAATTAACTGTATTGCAAAATGTTACAAATTCCTAATTTATCACAAAAACACGACTTTTGTGAAAGTACTATAAGACGTCATGTTGTCACAAACCCCTTGTTTCACCACGGGCGAGAACGAACGTTTGTGCAAATTGAGCCATGAAGCTGCCCTTCCTGCTCACTAGTCACTGTAACGACTAACGGGATGTACGAGCAAATAAGTACAGGATGTGCGGCAGGCATTTCACTGCAGAAATGTTCCAATGCGATCTGCATGCAGAGCTAACAAGTTGTATTTGTCCACAAAACCACTTTGAAGTTGAGAACAATATTATAGCAATTCAAATGTGTCATGTCAGGTAGGAAAGGAATCTTGCAAAGTGCTGAGAGGAAACTTTCCTGTTCATCTACCCCAGCTGCCACGTAATACTGTGCCTTAACGTGCACACCTTCACTTGCAAACAAGCAAGCCACCCAGTGTAAGCAGGATAATGAGTTTACTATACATACACAGCCAGACTTCCCATTCAACAGCTGTGGTTTGATCCCAGCTCCACATCTTTCCAAAGAAAATACAGTCAGCCAAATTTAGAAAAAAAAAAGCACATGACATATGGGAGACAGACGACAGAGAAAATGGCACAGAAACACAAAAAACAAAAGTTTTTAATTCACGAATTTTATTGGACGGATGGGCACAGATTACAGTTTGAACTTTCTTTTTGGTCCCTGAAGGAAAACAAAATCTTTCACAGCGAAATTGAAAGTAAGCCAGTGTAAATGATCCACAGTAAAACAGTGAGTGAAGGACATACAAGGATGATACAGAGTGCTACAATGACACTGACGATACTGCTGCAATGTCTAAAGCACAAATGTAAAAAATGACATAGTTAACAGTCTGAATTGTAAATCCCCTGGCAAGAAACACTGCTATCATATCTACCACGTCAATGACCTGTAAGCCTTGGGTTTTGAAAAATATGTATTTAGAATCCCTGAATATAAATAAAGTTAACAAATGCTGAGTATACTCCAACTCTTCTTTTTCCTAAAACAATGTAATACGACTTTACTAAGAATGCAACTGAATTCTAAAGTCAGCCTTCTTCTGGTAAAAAGCCTCTGATTCTGAGGTTCTTTGCTGACAGCTCAGAATCAGTTTGCATAGTCCTTTTTACATAGCATTCTGTAAGCCCTTTTTACACATTTTAAATGACCACCACAGTTAAGCAAACTTCCCCTTTTAAACAAACTGATTACAAATCATTATTGATTACAAATCAGCACTTAGCAGAGGTTAAAGTATGAATTGTGCCACCTGCTGATAACCAGGCAGGCACACTAAATCATCTCCAAGTGTAGCTACTGTAAGTAGTGTTCTGTGGGGCGTTGCAACCCTTAGTGCCATTCAGGTGGAAGATATTCTCAAACCCAGAAATCAAAGTGCTCCAGAACCCATTTAAGAATGGAGCCTGATGAAAACGACAGGAAACCTGTATAATCGTCTGTTTGCTAATTACCTAGTGACCCAGTTGACTGTCTTGGGTGCATTTTCCTCTATAAGCTGCAATTCTGAAGGAGATTATTTTGTACAGCCCACAGCTTCCTGTGGTGTATCATGACTTCCAAGTGCTTGAGCTCTTACACAACAGAACAATCGCACCTCTTGCACCGAATCTTGCTCTCTTTCCACCCAGCTAAAATCCAGAGGAAAACAATGCATTTTTTTTTCTAGTCTTACTTTCGTACGCCTGTTATGAAGCAGAAAAGCAGTGCTTCTGACACCTTGGAGTCTCCCTACTGACAAGCAAACGTTTTGCTATTGATTGCTCTCCACAGGCATCTACCTTAATCTACCTTACTGCCCTTATCAACACGACTACGCTGTGGTCAGAACTAAGTCTTCTGGGGCGGCTCCTGCTTGAGCTGGTTACGGCGGTCCAGTTTGCTCATGACCTGCGTGATGTCCACAGGGGCGCTGGCTGCCGCCTTCGCCTTGGCTTCCTCCTCCAGCTGCCGCAGGATGACCGGGCTGGGGCTGGAGCGCCGGTGCTTCCTGTTGAACCCGAACTTGCCCTCGCTGCGGAGAGACGTGGGACAGTGAGACCCCCCCTCCCGCCCTCAACACGGGCACCCAGGCACCAGCCTGCAGTTCGGCTCGACTCGGGAGAGCCGACGCAAAATTCTTAGGAGGCAAGTGAGAAATATCAAATTCGTGGCACAACCCTTGAACAGGCCAGCTAGAGAAAGGACCAAGGTGATCGTGTTGAATAAAAAAAAACAATCCTAAATATACTTCAATGTCCATAATGTGAAGTCTGTAAAATTCTGTAGTGAAAGCTTGTTTTTGATAATAATACAGTACTACAGTTGTACGCTGTCAGTAAATTGTTTTGACACATTTCAGAGCACTTGATAAATGCTGCAATTCACCACAGGTGCCTGACACACGTGCATGTGAAGAATATATTCCACATCATAATTTTAGATCAGCTTATTTCACGGTTTCCATCACCCTGTCCATAAATAACTCAATAATTCTCATAAGACTTTTGTTTTCCGTAATTAGAAAAGCGCATCCCCCATCATCTTAAAGGAACACAGTGGCTGCACCTCTTACTGTATGCCTATTGTTTAACAGGATGTGCATTAAGTAATCAGGCAAGCCCAAATGATTTAGATATTCAGCTACATTTAGTTGTACATTTCCCACCCTGCTCTATTTGTGAAACTTCTGCAGTCATGTTTTATTCCTGTTTTGCCATATTGTCAGCTGGTGAAATATACTAAATTAATTTAAGGAACATAATACGTCAGCACGTTTTAACTTTGAACATGCAAATTCTTTTCTCTGGTATTATGCATAAAGGAGAAGCTTTCAATCAATCAGTAGACCCACTCTTGAGGTTGTTATGATTTTAGCTAATGTCTGTAAAAATAGAGCTGAAGCCTGTGATCTGATTGAGATATCTTACTTCAATTTCGTCTCATCTGGAACAATCGCCTTCTTCATGGTTTCTTTAAATATAGGAGACTTCATGTACCGCCCAAAGGAATCCTGTAATTGAGAAAGTACTGTAATTAATGATTTGCCAATGGTTACTGACTTTAGAGACCCTGCAAACATGGACATTTTTAATGCATCATTTAGTTTTACCCGTGTTTTTATTTGGACATTTTACAGTGTTATTTCATTTTACTTCTGCTGTTTGTTTTATGAATTTTCATATTTATTAGAACTTTTAAATCCTTTGAGAAGAAATAACCTCTTGTTGCTCCTTTGTAGCTTGTGCATTAATTCAGGCCTCTGATATAATGTCTTCAGCACTTTACCAGAATATAAAAATGGTGGAATCTAACTTTAGGCCACATGCAAAATTCGATGAGCATTTGAAAACCATTACAAATCAAAATACCAGGACCAGACTATGCACCTTCTTCATAAGCATGTAAATGTGTGTCTGCGCAGCATCCAGCACATAACGATGAGGATGCTTGAGGCCTTTCACTGTGATGTCCATCGTCTTTCCATCTATGTTAATCCAGCGCCGTGCCCCAGGAGCCAGGAAGGTCCTGCATTCATGCACACAAATGTAATGAACAAATACGAAAGGCACTGCTGCCCTTAAAAACACACACAAATACAAACCAATTATCCTGGACTAATGTAAGTGCCTTTTAAAAATACACCATAAAATTACATACCTACATACCTTTAATGAGAACTGAGAAATTGTTTACAGGGGTAAGGCAGGTATGTTTTGCTAGGGTTTGTGAAAGGTAGTGGGATACTACAACCGATGCCAAAATGGGCCAGATTTTGAAGATAACTTACCTACATTTGGATTTGATTGTGACTGAATATTCTCTTCTCATAGTCTTTTTTGTGTTCTTATGAGACCTTCATATGAGTAAAAACTAAATGTAATATTTCTCTCCACCAAAATTCAAAACCTCTGGTGGGACTGAATTATTTGATATATCTACAGTATGATAAAAAAAAGAAAACTGCATGGTACTCAACATGTCTGTCTCCATATTATTTTGATCAGAACTGAGGTAGGAACGGGTTTGTAGACTGAACAAATGTGGGGATTGACTTGGACAGTTTCACCCCTGTGTTTACTGGCTCCTGGCATGACGGTGTCAGCGAGCTCACTTGTAAATTTCCTCAGCTTTCTCCTTCACTTTCGTCTGGTCGCCAAACTTCAGGTCCTCGCAAGCTTCCCAGAAGGCCAAGTTCTCTCCTACAATCACATGGAACATCTAAAGTTAACTTTCCATGGCACTCACCTACCACCTTAGTGACTATTGTTGCATAACCTATAGGTCATTATCACAAGGTCTGTGATGGTATTCTGTCAGTCATATAATTAAAGCAACTAACTAAATCAGTGAGCCAAGATTCTGATAAAGAACCCTCTAGGATACAAATAGTTAAAGCATAGAGCATGTATACTTGACCCAGCACCATTATCTCTCTTCCAACCAACTGGTTTAAGACCTCTACATGAGGATTCTTCAAGACATTCTCAGACACTTAAACACTGAATTGGCTATCAGTCAACAGCAGAGCTAACCAGAACATTGACGGTGACCCCAAAGTCACCCCACGTACCGCTGAATTCCTTCTTCAGGAAGAGCTGGAAGTCCTGGCGGCCACGGGGGTCACTCAGCAGCTCCTTGAAGCTGAAGGTCCAGCGTTCCACGCGCAGCTTGGTGGGGTTCTCCACCCTGAGCCAAATGACACAAACCTTTCAGGTCCCACTGTAACCTCCAAAGAGCATTTTAGACCCAACCCACAGAAGGTATTGCCAGTGATGGTAGGGCAAGAACAGAGAAAGGAGAAAGTGGCCGGCATATCTTTATGGCGGCCCTAATGCACCAACAAACAGATGTGTCAGAATCCATCTTTTATAATTCTCCAATACCACTTGTATTGCAAAAACAAATGCAGAACCTTGAAAATATGATATTCCGTAAAAAAGAATTGTTTTGTTATTAGCCACAAATCCAGTGAGAGCCACAGCAAGACGGAGCCTATCCAGAACAGAGGGTACAAGAGAGGGACAGGAAGGTACTGAGTGTCTTCTCTTCCCTGGGATGGCACCTCAGTCCACTGCAGGGCCACAGTTAAACCGACAATATTAGAATCATCAGTCAATTACTGCTAGAAAATGCTGGGCAATGAACCAATATAACATAATCCTCAGCCCCTTCTTCTCGGTAAAAGTCACAAAGAATGAAACAGCTCATTTGATGACTGTGCACCGGTAATTATCACCAAGGTGCCTGATTTCAGCAGACATCGCTGCCCTTGTCATGGTAATTGCATGTCACCACCATCCAAAAACAGAAATAGTTATCTGCTCAACATCTTCCACTCAGTGCTCCAGATGTTCACAGAGTTTGTTTGTTTGGTGTTTCAAGTCATCACTTCTTTGGAGGAATCTAAAATTAATGGCAGGGGATGCATTAAATACGCCTTGGGCACCCAGCGCCAACTCCAGAAGTGTAGAAGAAAAGGAGGGACTATTCCTTGGACAGAGTGCCAGTCCATTACAGGGCACACGCTGGGGCCCTGTGTTCAATTCCTGGGGTGCTATCTGCATGGTATTTGTATGCTGTCCCCATGTTCTTATGCTCTGGAGTAAGTGTGTGCGTGTCTGTGTCTGTCTGTGCCCTGAGACGGACTGGCGTCCTATCCAGAGTGCATCCTGTCTTGCACCCGTTGCTTGCTGGGATAGACTCCACCTCCCCTGTGACCCTGTATTGGATAAAGCGGTTAGAGAACTGATGGATGTTTTGGGGTGGATGGGGGAATCCGGAGCATCCACAGAAAACCCAAGCATACACAGGGAGAACACGCACACCAGACAGGGAGTTCCAGTCTGTAATCAATGCTGAAAACCAGGCAACCATTCTCATCACCACACAACCCAAACACTATGCCCCACAAATAAATAAAAAAACTAGCTCACTGAATGAGTCATGAAAAGGAAACGTGCACAGAGAGGCAATGGGTCTGAGGCTTACAGAAATGAAGCTTTTGTGTGTGCACTGGGTTAGTGATCAATAGGGGCCTTAATGTTCTTTGTAATGTCTGCATTGCTCAGTGCTGAAGGGGACTTACATTGGCATATTGAGCTCCCAAAACATAGTGTCATCGGTTATCCAAGGGTTGCTAGGGAGACAGCCGGCCATGAAAGGATCATGGTTTTTGTACTGCTCGCAGTACTTGACAAGCCTGTGAGCACACAAAGACAAGAGGTCCTACTCAGAAATACTAGTCCTGCATTATAAGCTGAGACAAAGACACCTTGTTCACTGAATTTTAATGGTTACAAGTTAAAAAATGAGGAAAACAGAGTGAAGCAGGAGGACCTTTGAAATAACAGTGGTCCGATTTGTCTGTTATAAATCTATTAATCTTGTGTTTTCTCATCAGACATGGAGCTTCAGATTTAGTCACCCTATAAGCGAACACAAGTATGTGTGACATGAAAAACCCATACGGGACTTATAGAGGACAGTCATTGCAGCTACATCAGTGTTCAGAACAGTCAATGCAATTGCTTTTAATGAAAAGACGGGTACAAACTGGTCCCAAAAGTGCTTTAAAAAGTTATGGATGGATGGATGTTTGCCTGTTATGCTGTTACCATAACATTAGTTTTTTACAGGACAGGGTTGTTAGCCTTGTGCCCAACCTCCAATATGGAGGACCTGGCACCAGACGTGGGACACAGACCCACTACCCTGAGATTATGAGTCTCATGCTACCCGTGGCACTTAAAAAGTTTAATTAGTTACAATATAATACAGAAATTACACCATGGTAAATAAAGGAATCAAAGCTCACAAGTCATCCATGCATGTAATAACTAT